CGGGAGACCAGGGGGAGCTCCAGTCCCTGCACCCCGTATTGGTGCTGCCGCTGCCGATGGGGAGAGGGATCCTGGACCTGCCTGGGAACCCCTGCCGTCGCCCTTGGCTCTGGGCACTGGAGCCCCAGAACCCCCGGTGCTGTCCCCCCAGGTTCTGCTTCCCATCCTGCCCTGCCTGGCTGGCACTGAGCCCCCCACAGTGCCACTCTGGGACTCGGGTCTGGTTAAGGATCTGCTGTGCCCCCGGCTCTGCCCCACAGCCCCCCCCGCTGGGTTAATAAGTCATGGCCATGGCCGCGGGGAAGGTGACACTGTCCCGGCCCCTGTCCCGGTCCCCCTACCCGTTCTGCCCGTTCTGCCTGGCTGCCCATGCCAGGGAGTGGCTCCACCTTGGGACCCCGGGGCATGTTAACGTTCAACCTGTGCACAGCCAGGGGGGCAGCTTAGACATGCCGCTCTCTGCACCCGGGGGTGGACACCCCATCTGCCCCCTACTGGTAGCCCCTTTGGGCTCCCTCTAAGCCCTGTACAGGCCTGGTGTCTGTCTGTCCATCTGCATGTAGGAGACCCCAGGGAGGGGACTGGGTGCTATGGCAGGGCTGGGGGTGACATTGGTGCTGGTCCCCCCACAGCGCTGCAAGGAGCGGGGGAACTCACTCGCCAGAGCAGTGACATGTGGCCGGGGGTGAAGCTGCGGGTGACGGAGGGCTGGGACGAGGATGGACACCACCTCCCTGACTCACTGCACTATGAGGGCCGGGCGCTGGACATCACCACCTCTGACCGCGACCGCCACAAGTATGGCATGCTGGCACGCCTGGCTGTGGAGGCTGGTTTCGACTGGGTCTACTACGAGTCCAAGGCACATGTCCATGTCTCCGTCAAAGCAGGTACTACACGGGGAGGGCTGCCACCAGGGCGGGGGCTGCTGTCCCCATAAGCATCTCAGCCCATGGCTCAACAGCCCACATTGCTCCCCCTTGGCATCCTGGATCCATGTGGGATATAGCCCTGCTCTGGCCCCAGTGGGTTTAACCCGTGTCTGACAACTCCCCCAAGCCTTTCCAGCTACCAGATTAGGAAAAAACACACTTCCTCCCCCAAATTTTGCCTGGCCATGGCCAGCCTCACAGTTCAGCTCCTGGTGCTGGCCACAGCCAGGGTTGCTAAGCTGGTCCAGGCAGCTGCAGCCCAGTCCGCAGCCCCCAGCCCTGCAGCTGCTCTGGTTGGCAGCCCCCGTCCGGCCCAGAAGTGACAATTGACAGAAAATGAAAGTGGCCATAAATGTCACCGTCCCCAGCCCTGAACAAAGGGCGTCAGTGCAGGGTGGACAAAGGGGCCCTGCAGTGCCCAGCCTCCCTGGGAGCTGCACACAGGAACTGGGGGAGCTTTGGAAAATGCCTGCTTTGTTCCAGGGGTGGTTTGGGGGCCTGCAGGGGGTGGCTTCACTCAGGGCGGTTTCCCCTCTGGAGGTGGTCGCCAATGGAGGTGGCCGACAGGGACAGGGGACCCACAGCTTTCTCCATCTGCCCAGATAACTCACTGGCCATCCGCACTGGTGGCTGCTTCCCGGGCCATGCCACCGTGACGCTGCAGAGTGGTGAGCGCCGGGGTCTGGCCGACCTACGCCGGGGTGACTGGGTGCTGGGTGCAGAGCCAGGCGGCCGCCTTGTGCCCACTGAGGTGTTGCTCTTCCTCGACCGGAATCTGGGCCAACGTGCCTCCTTTGTCGCCATCGAGACAGCCAGCCCAGCACGCCGGCTCCTCCTCACACCATCCCACCTGGTCTTCGTGGCCCGTGGGGCAGCCAACAGCACAGCCGCCTTTCTGCCTGTTTTCGCCCGCCGTGTGCGACCAGGCGATGCGGTGCTGGCCCATGGGGCCAGTGGGCAGGGGCTGCGCCCCGTGCGGGTGCTACGGGTTTCACAGGAGGACAGCGTGGGGGTCTTTGCCCCCCTCACCTCCCATGGGACCCTGCTGGTCAACGGGGTGCTGGCATCCTGCTATGCCGTCCTGGAGAGCCACCGCTGGGCCCACCATGCCTTCGCCCCCCTCCGCCTCTTCCATGGGCTTCTCTCGCTGCTGCCATCCCGCGCCGAGGTGGGCAATGGGACGGCACCAGAGATAGGCATGCACTGGTACTCACGCCTGCTCTACCAGCTGGCTGGGGGTGTGCTGGGCCAGGAGGTCCTGCAGGCATAGGGGTCCCTGGCCCCCCTGACTCACTGCACTGCAGATCATGCCGCACACTGGAAGCAGGGGGCTCTGGCCCTGGGCCCCCCTTGGACCAGCAGGTGGTGGGAAGGAGGGACAGGGGCACCCCCAGTCCTGCAGGGAGGTCAGGGTGCCTCTCGGCTCAGCGCTGCCCAGGGACACAGAGTGGTGGGAGAGGGTCCTTGGAACAGGTTGTTGTGGTGTGGTCCAGGGACCTGGGCTTAGCACCTTCCCCTGTCCTGCAGCCCCTCAGCACTGCCAGGTGCCTGGCTGGATGCCCGCATCCCAGACCCCTGCACACTCCCTCTGTATTTATTGCTTTATTAACCGCTGGGGCTGGGGCCGGGGTTGGTCTCTGTCAGGCCCATGCCAGGCACCACTGGACCCTGCCCCAGGGCCAAATCCAGTCCAGGGGATGCCAAACCAGCCCAACAACAAGTACCTGGCAGCAGCTCCTGCCTGTCCCCCAGCCCTGCACCTGTCCCTCCATCACCCCTGGTGTCCCTGTCCCCATGCAGCTCAGTGCTGCAGGGCAGCTGGACAGGGTGTCTGCCGCAGGCACAGGCACTGTGTGCCTGGCCCAGCTCTAACCGTGCTAACTGCTAACCTGCCCTGCTTGAGAGTTTTATTTTTCTATTTATAAATGATAATATAAATGTCCCCCACGCCCACCTGCCCCAGCAGTGGGGCCTGCCCCACAGGGCAGGGGGCCAACCTGCTTTTAACCACTTCTGTTTTGTTTTTTTTTTAAAGAAATACTACTATTTAATTGTTTGGATAAATAAAGAGACTCTATGGCCCTGGCAGAACCGTGACTGAAGGCGGGGGCTGCGCAAGGCTGGGCCAAGGCGCCCAGGTGTGGCTGGGGTCGGGCATTCTGGGAGTGCTGGGCCATCCCTGGGGCTGGGATCGGGCATCCCGGGGGGGCTGGGGCATCCCGAGGGGGCTGGGGGTCCTTGGGGCTGGGGTTGGGCATCTCGCAGGGGTCAGAGGTCCCTGGGGCTGGAGGAGGCCAAGGTAGGGATCTCGAGGGGCAGGAGGTGGGTGCAGGTGGTCCCGGGACTCCCCGGGCCG